AAAAATCTTCATTGAAGGACGCCATGGACGTACCGGTGAATCATCTGAAGTACGTGAAAGCGACTCCCTTATGGAAGCGAACAACGATTGCACTTCCGACTCTCGAGGTAAATAATTTTTTAGGTAGCCAAAGTTGGGCAGCGAGTTCTTTAAGTCTTCGTATTTCTTTTAAGAAAGTATTAGAAAGAGGTACAAAATGAACCTGGTTAACTGTGTACGCGCCACCAACCCCCGCACCAAAAAGAATATATCTCAAACGAAAGATGCGTGCGAGTATGCCTGCCATATTCAAAGTCAGCGTAGAGTGTCTATTGTATCCTGGGACACGGCAAACACATCACCACAATCTAGAACTGAACGCGAAATGAAGAGCGGAATTAAATTATTCACTTACATTTTAGTCCACTTAAAGATTACTATTTTATCAACGGCTAAAATATAAGCCGGTATATAAAATTTCAGGTCAGCGGGAATCAGAAAATGCATTAAATTATATTATAGTAGAAGAAGAAGAAGTATTAGGAGTAGTAGTAGAAGTAGTAGTAGTAGTAGTAGTGGCAAGAATGATTTGTGAGGCCAAGGCGATATTGAAAAAACAAGGTCCTTCTGTCTTACGGGCACCTGGTAATAGGGGGTTATATGGGTGGGGCGGTGAACTTACGAGTTTTAGACGGCGATAACTGGAAATAATAATAGCAATGAGAGCCAAAAAAGGAACGATTATTTTTATAAGAAGATAAAGAAGGCCGAAGGGTATAGGGAGAGAAAAATAAGCGCAAAGGTTACGCTACAGCGACAAAAAGTCACCCGGAAGCATGCTATTGGTGCGAATATTCAGGGAACGGAATATTGAAGTCCAAGGAAGCGGTAAACTGATCGTGCGTGAGTGGCAACCAATCAGACTAAGGCAAGACTGAAAACGGGAAGCATTAAATGTGCGCGTAGTATTAATCGTTTTGGCAGATGGCGCAAACGACAGAATATGCTAGCGTGGAAGTGCAAACAATGGGAGATGCGGAAGCCAAGTAAGAGCAAAGTTTAAGCTATATTAGGATTAAACAGTAAGAATTGTATTTTTTCAAATGTAAGATTACATTTCTGACAAACGCAAATTGCACTGGCCGGGAAATGATAAAATTTCCCCTCAATTTAGCCCTTCGGGAGTAGCCGCAGAAGACAGCTAATGCGCGAACCCCATTGCATCAGGCAGCTCGCCGACAATGAGAACAGCGCCGCTGGTTACATCAAGGGAAACTGTATGGCCGGGTGAAAGACAAAGAAGGTATGTTAAGACAGATTTTTAAAAGGTCTCCCTGGCTGGAGGAACTCTGTAAAAGTAGTAGTTTGTGCAGCTTACAACGTGTTAGGAGTTGTGCTAACGAAGATAGTAACAGCAACTTAACAGTGCTTAAATTGTTGAATTTGTAACAGAAGCCTTTTTCTGTGTTACACTCCCGACACTAGTAGTACAAGATCTGTCAGGCTATCTCAACCGAAGCCATGTGAGTAGTTAGTGAAAACTATTAATTCAAACGACGTGGTTTCGTACTGTCAAAAAAAGGACTGCTGCCCTCTCTGTAGACCGGGAGAAGACGCGTGGTGGACGTGCAGCGGCAGGCAAGAACCATTTTCCCTCCAATGTTTTGCAATGTGTAGATGAGAGCAGCGGAATCTGCGACGCAAGGCCGAACGAAAGCTTCTGCGCAAACCAACTGCTCCATGTTAGTAAACCCCCAGATGCAGAAAGTCAGCGGACGAGTGCCAGCGAAATGCACAAAACAGAAGCGTATGAAAGGCTGAACGACCTGGCAGACACGAATTATACGGCGGAGGTGAATGTAGGAAGGCATACGGACGCGGAACAAAGGATGCCCCAGGGGACCAAGACAAGAAGACCACGCCGAAGACGACGGATATAAGAAAGCCGGAAACTTGACGAAACCCGCGAATCCGAACAGCGGCAGGAAGCGTTTTTACACGAATGGCC